ATTTGTTCCATATCTGTATCTTCTAATTTATCTACAGTAAACATGAAATGTTTGTGCAGTAAGAAAAAATATCTATATAATATTATAGAAGCAAATAAATAACTTCCCTCTCATCCATATCACCCAGTCAACCCCTAATCTATAAAACTTACTTTTCATAAGATTCTGTATAACAGTACTGGTACATTTATCTGTTTCAGATGCTAGTGGAAAGTAACAACCTTTCAGACAATATCATTGTTTTGCCAGGGAAAATTGAAGAAATCTCACTTCCTGAGGCTGTAGATGTGATCATTTCAGAACTAATGGGATGCATGCTGTTCAATGAAAGGATGCTGGAAAGTTACCTTCATTCCAAAAAGTGGCTGAAAACAAATGGTGAGCTGGCTAGTTCCTGGTTTTGAAAGTAGGCTAACTTTTTCTGTAAGATTTGCCATCTTCCTTCCCCTATATTCAATCCTTTACAGAAAGGAGGAAAGAACATTTCTGTTAAACCAGGTATTTGATTTCCTCATCTTATTCTCCCATAATAATTGAGCTAGTCCCCAAAAGACCCTGATAGCCATGGTGTTCAGAATGGTGTAGAAGACCAGTTCTGAGTTATGTGTTTTTGTCCTGATGCAATTACTTTCTTAGCTAACTTGGGTTGATACTTGATCTTTTGACTTTGGCTTCCTCATCTGTATTATTAAAAGTAGTCTCTAAAGCCCTTTCAAGTGCTGACCTTCTGAAGTGTGAGAAAGTCTCTGGTGTTCGTTTTTTCTTTCTAACGTATTCTCTTCCTGCTGTGTTTCTTTCCCTATGATCGCTACATGTAATTGAGATAATAAGATAAAGTTCAGTATTCTCTTTGTGCTGACCAAATATCTGTGTGTGCTAAGCAGACTTTGTATAAATTATTTTATGAAAACCTTACAAAGTTTGAGTAATGAAAGCTTTCAGTTTATTTGAAGGTTTACTGCAGAGATTCTTGGTTATTTTATACTCCTTTCGCAGGAGATGTTTGGTTATGTCTGAAGACATTTTGAGTTGTCATAACTGGCAAGGGGGTGCTACCAGCACCTATGGGGGAGGCCAGGGACTTGCTAAATATCTTTTGATGTTCAGGATATCACCCCCACACATCAAAGAGTTATTCAGCCCATATTCAGCCCAAAATGTCAATAGTGCCAAGATTGAGACCTGGCTTGGTAGGAGACAGTATTACAATCCCCACTTAAAAAACTGAAGCACCATGAGGGGAAGCAGCTTGGCAAGGACAGAACTGTAGTAAGTCACAGAGCAGGGATTTGACGCTAGATCTGTCTAACCCTGAAAGCCGCACTCACAACTCCTTGCACACACACTCACTTTCCACTTTTCACCAGAGAGGGGATGTGTTCCAATAACACATGTTTTTTCAAATGAGAGTTAGAAAAGTAACTGGCCAGTTTTAGCAGTTGTATCTCTAGTGAGAATGGCAGCTCCTTCCTAACCTGTTATACTTACCTGAAATTACCATCGTTGTGGCTCGCTGCTAATACCCAATGAAGACAAAATAACGAATAAAACACAACATGTACTCACCAGATTACCTGGTATATATGCATATAAGTAAAGGTTGATGTTCGTCTATAATTTCCTACAGGTTTCAAAAATTAGGGATTTATCAATAGGCATTTTTAAAAAAAACTCATGCAAAAATAAATAAGCTTGGGTAAAGTATACCTAAAGTTAAGAACTTTATTAGCATTTCCATTATAGAACAGCCAAGGAAGATCTTGGAAGCCTTGTGGTCATGTGATAAAATTGAACTATGGGAGATGAAAGCAAAGGAACAAAGCTGTTTGGATTTCCTCCTCAGTGCCTCCAGAAAGAATTTTTATACTTTTTCTGGATTTTTCTCAAATGGTTTGGTGTCTTTGTATGATGAGATTTTAAACAAAGTTAATTAATATGCATCTGATGAGCTGCCCCCTAAGCCAAATATTTGGACTTAATGTCTGGGCATTCTTTTCCCCCAGATGTTAGAAGCATAGATGACATTTTATATTGGGCTATGTATCTTTAACTAGACAAGTAGAAATGAATACTGATTTTATCAGCCTTCTACCCTGTGCATTCCTGCGGGAACGGATGACTGATATTTTTCCAAATTATTTTTATTTTCCATCAAAATAAGACATAGTTTACAACATCACATAATAATAAAAAGACAGTGAAAAATAGTAACCCTCTGCCATGCCTCTTCCAATCCCAAGACTGCTCCCGCAGGCTTTTTCCTTTTCAGCTCTCTTTTCTGTTGCTTCTATTATTTAACCACATATTTCTATGTAAAATTAGCATTTTTCTATTCTTGTCACCCTCTAGTTGAGAAGTTAACTCTCCTATATAGCAGCTCCTTCCCTTATTGAGGCACCCCCACCCCATCCTCTTGATGTATTTATAAAGGTCCTCAGTCCCTTATCCAGACCCTTGATGGGGCCAGGTACGTTTCAGAATTCAGAATCTGGAGGACTTTGCAAAGGCTGTAGAATCACACCACATGTGTTATACTTCACTCCTCCAGTGGGATCTGAGGCAACACTCCATAATGAAACATGTAATATTTCTGCAACAAAACACGAATATGGATAACAAGTCCATATTGGTATGGATTGTTGTTCAGTTGCTAAGTTGTGTCCAACACATTGCAGCCTCATGAACTGCAGCACGCCAGGCTTCCCTGCCCTTCACTATCTCCTGGAGTTTGCTCAGACTCATGTACATTGAGTCAATGATGCCATCTAACCATCTCATTCTCTGTAGCCCCCTTTTCCTCTTGCCTTCGGTCTTTCCCAGCATCAGGGTCTTTTCCAATGAATCGGCTCTTCACATCAGGTGGCCAAAGTATTGGAGCTTCAGCATCAGTCCTTCCAATGAATATTCAGAGCTGATTTCCTTTAGGATTGATTGGTTTGATCTCCTTACTCTGTCCAGGGGACTCTCGAGTCTTTTCTAGAACCACAGTTTGAAAGCATCAATTCTTTGGTGCATAGCCTTCTTTATGGTCCAACTCTCACATCTGTACATAACTACTGGAAAACCATAGCTTTAAGTATACAGACCTTTGTCAGCAAAGTGATATCTCTGCTTTTTAATGTGCTGTTTAGATTTGTCATAGCTTTTCTTCTCAGGAGCAAGCATCTTTGAATTTCATGGCTGCAGTCACCGTCCGTAGTGATTTTTGAGCCCAAGAAAATAAAATCTGTCACTGTTTTCATTGTTGTCCCCATCTATTTGCCATGAAGTGATGTGACTGGATGCCATGATCTTAGTTTTTTCTGTGTTGAGTTTTAGGCCAGCTTTTTGACTCCACTCTTTCACCTTCATCAAGAGGTTCTTTAGTTCCTCTTTGCTTTCTGCTATTAAAGTGGTATCAACTGTATATCTGAGATTGTTGTTATTTCTCCTGACAATCTTGATTCCAGCTTGTGATTCATCCAGCCTGACGTGTCCCATGAAGTACTCTGCTTAAAAGTTAAATAAACACAGTGACAATATACAGCCTTGACGTACTCCTTTCCCAATTTTGAACCAGTCCACTGTTACATGTCCCATTCTTGCTGTTGCTTCTTGTCCTGCATACAGGCATCTCAGGAGGGATAAGTAAAGACTATAAACTCAAGTCAACTCAGGTCAGGTCTTGCCATTATATAATGTTGCAAACCTAACAAAAATCTGTTGCTTTGCAGAGCTTTTTGGATGTTAGAATTTTTTTTTTTTTTGACGATAAACGCATATCATCATTTATTTAATGTTTAAGCTCTTGCACTAGATTTTTACAAGCTGGTGAACACTGACAAATTATTTCTCCCACAGAACTATAACCACTTGTTCCCGGACAGTATAAATATATGGTTGAGCTAACGTTAATACACATCACCATTTTATCAATTACATAATAAAACAAATTGTCAAGTATCCAAATATTAAGTTACACAGCTCAAAAGGTATATAAAATATTAAATGTCTGCTCAATTCATTAGCAGAAACCCACTTTTTTTTCCAAGAGAGGCTGGGAATCACACTTCAAACAAAACTAAGTCGGTAAACAACTTCAGTAAGTATGAAAAAAAATTACAAGAATTTCAGAAATTTTGATTAAGAATTGTTTTAGTTACAGTAACAAAGTATTTCTACCTTTTAAAAAAATATTTACTAAATTAAAGCGCATATTCTACATGTTCTGCACAAGACAAAGGCAACATTTTACTAAAAATACTTAATAGCCCCCTCCCATTCTTTTTTCAGGCCCTCCCTGTAAGTTGCACCCCAAAGTGCAAACATTAAAATGAACTGTAAGGCTTTTGTCTGGAGACATTAAAGACATGTGCTTCTGTACAATGTAGATTTTCAAAATGGAGGCCTTCTACAACATAAAATGAGATTTATAGAAAGATATTAAATAATCACTGTAAGACTTGGTTAATTAAAAACGGAGCAAATCTGATGTATACTGGTATGAATGTGGGAAATGTAAACATATTGTGAGCAAACAAACCTCATATGCCCTACTATGTTTGAAATGATGCAAGGAATAAACCACATAAGGTCCAGAGTGTTCATAGTTCCTGGGATTTGTCCTATATGATACTAAAAATATACAAGTATTGTGCTGGGTATTTTGGCACCTAGTCTTTCTAAATTTCTTACGTATTGGTAAGATTCTGGCATGGAAACAGATTTAATGACATAACTCAATACTGCATGATTTCAGGAAAGGTCAATTGGTACAAATTATAAGCACATACTAATGCTGAACGGCAAGAATTCTTTACTAGTATTCAAATAGGTTGATCATAACCTGAACAGAGACTGCAATTCTGCCAGGCCTATGGCCTGGTAAAACTGCTTTTCAACACTCCTATGGAAGCTTCATCAGACTTATTCACCAAGTCAATTGGGCTATCTGCTATGTACGACAAATTCCATCGTGTCTCAGGTTCCACTTCCAAGCAATGGCATCATGCACCCTAGTTTTACTGAATGCAACAGTTGTTTCTATGCCCATTGGAGTCTTTGAAGCGCAGTTGCATTTTAGGACGATACTTCTCCAAATACAAAAGTTGCTTGCTGTTAAAAGCTCCTCGCCGCTTTTGTCTTATGAACTGTACTGCATCTTCATATTTCATTCCACCTTCAATTAATGCTAGGGCAACAAGCACTGGAGCTCTGCCAAGGCCTGCAACACAATGAACAGCAATACAACAACCAGGGTCTTCACGAAACTTAATCTTCACAAGACTTAACCAATCATCAACAATCTGGTTAGATGGTGGTGTGCCATCATCAAAAGGCCAATCGAGAACATGGATGCCTTCTTTCTCCACAAGAGTAGTGTCATAAGTTGCTTCACATACCCTTACGATTGTGGTAACTCCATACTTCTTAAGTTCCTCTATAAATTTGCTTAACATTGCATTAGTTGGGTTGTGTGTAATAAGAAATCTCATGTTCCTGTACGTAACTTCCACAGGAGCTGGGCGGTTCATTCGAGCCATGTTAATTTAGTTAAAAAAAACACTCAATAGGGATATGAAAGAATTTAAAAAATTGAATACAGAAATGATGCAAAGGAACGCAGTCAAACTTCAATATACTCCACTTGAAATTCTCAGTGCTTTTAAGTATGAAGTTGGGAGTAATGAATGAATGAACCTCTTAACAAGAAGCAGCAATTCTTCAATCCAGTAATACTGAGGCAATAGAAAGGAAGTGCACTGAGGTTTACCCCATCCAGATCAGAACTCTTGTAAAAAATGCTCTGTGGATTTCAATTCAACACTTCTGTGTCCAGGTTAACCAGTCTTACGGGGGCTTCTTGGTTGAGCAGTAATGAATCTCTGCAGTTCACTTGTCTGCATAGAGGTCGTGCTGTGCCTGGCAGTAATCTCCACTGCCCTTCAGAAACTCCATAAATGTGTGACTGAGAACACCACAGAACTGAGGAATATGTCTACTCATTGAAGATTGTGGCCTAACCATACAGCCGGTCCCGAGGCGGAGGCGGCGGCGGCGGCGGGGCAGGGGCGGTGGCCGGCGTCGTGCGGCGGCGGCGGCTTCGCGGGCGGCGACGGCACCGGAGTCGGTTCTGCAGTCTGGATGTTAGAATTTTTTTAAAAATATAAGGCAATATAGACCTAGATTATGACTTGATTTAAATCAATAATCAGTGTTTGCATCATTATGACAATGTAAATACTGTTCAGTGCTGAGGCAGGTGCATCCTCTCTGTATGTGTGTTCAGTTGTGTCCGACTCTCTGTGACCCCATGGACTGTAGCCCACCAGATTACGTATGATTATATATCTTTTTCATGAAATCTTTTGTTCTTCCTGGAGTTAATTGCCTTGTTTTTTTATTAGCTTTCTATATACTCATGACTGCTTTTTTCCATGCTTTAACAGGTCTGACAGATTGCCTATCAGTATTTATTTTGTGGAATTCTCCTGTAATTCTCTGTCCTCCTCTACCACACGAATGGGTGGCTCTCTAGTCCTGTTGTATGGCTATTCCACTTTGACTTTTGGTCATTTTTTGTCTTCTCTTTTTTGATTTACACCATTCCTTTCAGCAAAGAATATTTTTCAATAGCTTCTGGAGAAAGGATGCTTGAGTTACTTTGTTTGTTGAGTCCTTGATAACAAAATTATCATTTTGTTAGATAGAGAATTTTAACTTGAAAACAATTTTTACTCAGTTTTTTTAAGGCATCTTTTTTTAGTATCTGGTTTCCTATGTTACTGTTGAGAAGTCCAATGCCATTCGACTTCTGAACTTTTAGAATGGCATAGTTTTTCCATCTTGATGCTTTTAGTATTTTTTCTTTAGTTCCCTTAGTGTGAAATATTTTAAATTGCTATGCTGTCCATGTAGTTGTTATTTGTTTAGTTGCTAACCCCTGTCCAACTCTTTTGTGACCCCATGGACTGTAACCTGCCAGGCTCCTGTGTCCATGGGATTTCCCAGGCAAACATACTGGAATGGGTTGCCATTTTCTTCTCTAGGACATGTAATGGGTATGTTAAGTCAGAAGACTCATTTTCTTCTTCTCTTGGAATTTTTCTTGTATTTTACCTTTGATGAGTTCCTCTCTTCCATTTTATCTGATATCTTTGAAATTCCTGTTAGACTTGGCCTCAGAGCTCTGAAACTTCAAAAGTTTGCACAGATAATGATACATTTGACTTTTCCAAAGTTGTTTAATATCCTTGAAATTTAAAAAACTACCAGCAGTCATTGCTGTTTTGACAACAGTGCTTGAGATTTAGATGGAGAAATGTGAATGATGTTACACCCATGGTTTTTCTCTGATCACCTCTGAAAATACTGTGAATGAGATGATTTGTTCAATTTTAAGAGACCTCAAAGCGAACATAGCTAAAGTATGAGACCATTGACTATAGGAGGGACTTCTCTCCTGAGTTTTTTTCCTTCTACTTAATAGCTCTGTGATTATGGTTGAATTGTTTAAATTTCCCTGTTTCTTAGTTTTCTCATGGAATAAAATGAATATAATAATAGTACCCGCTTTAGCCACCAGGGAAGTCCCAAGAATTAAATGAATTAATACATGGAAAGCCCATGGAAAGGTTCGAGACAGGGTTGACATAACCAAGAAAATGTAGGTACTATTTTTAAAATGATGATGATAATTACAGGATTTATACTTTTTTATATAATGAGAGCAATAATGCTGATCACCCCGTCTGCCTGCCCAGAATGGCCCAACTTCAGGCATGCCAGCCTAGGTGTTTGTTTTCTACTAAAGTAAATGCTTTTTCCCCTTTTTACTGCAAGTGTCAGGAACAAAATGCAAGTGTTTTGGCTTCTTGGCATGGAGGATGGTGAGCCAGCACATAAGCATAGATTCTAATAGCACTTAAAAAGATAGTAAGGTTTTACATCAACAAAGGTTGAGAATGAAAATACTAACAATAATGTGATAGGAGGATTGAATGTAGATTATTTTTCTCTGATCACCTCTGAAAATACTATGAATGAAATGATTTGTTTATGGTGAAGTAGTTTTTACAAAAAATAAAAAAATAAATGGAGAGCCTGAACTCTGCGGCAGCGCAGAGCACTTCAGCTCTCAGCGGCTCGGGGACTGGTGCGTGGTATGAGCCGCAAGGCTGCGGCTGAGTCTCTGTGTAGAAGGCACGAGAGGTCGGCAGCTTTGGCTGCAGCACGTCAGGTGGCGACAGCAGTAGAAGTACTGAGCAACAGTGGCAAGCAGAGCTACAGCAGGTGGGAATACCAGTCTTCCAAAGTGAAGGTGCCCATGGATCTGGGAAATCTGCAAGGCATACCCCTGCAAGGTCTTACTCCAAGGAAGATGCCAGGCATTTCAGATCAAAGTGCAAGTCCAGATCCCAATCTAAGTATAGGTCCAGAAGAAGTTCTTAAAGGCATTATACAAGGTCACGATCTCAGTCCCGCTCCCATAGTAGGTTCCATAGCAGATCTTACAGTAGAGATTATAGAAGATGGCATTGCCACAGTCATTCTCCCAGGTGAACTCATAGGTGTCACGTTGGGAATCAGGCAAATCTTGATCCCAACTATTGTTTTGGAGTATTTGGGTTGAGCTTGTACACTACAGAAAGAGATCTAAGAGAAGTGTTCTCCAAATATGGCCCAGTTGCTGATGTGTGTCTATTGTATATGACCAGCAATCTAGACATTCAAGAGGATTTTCCTTTGTATACTTGGAAAATGACAATAATGCCAAGGAAGCAAAAGGGCATGCCAGTGGAATTGAGCTTGATGGACATAGTATTAGAGTTGATCTCTCTATAACAAAAAGAGCATGTACTCCAACCAGGAATTTACATGGGGAGACCTACCTATGGCAGCTCACATACTGGGTTTACTTACGACAGAGGATGTGGTTGAGGCTATGATAATCAGGACTATTAAAGCATATCATATAAAGGAGGAGGAGGATGGAGAGCTGCTCAAGACAGGGATCAGATATAGAGAAGATGGTCACCTCCTCCCATAGTCGTGGATGATACAGATCATGTTCCAGATCTTAATCATACTCACCTTGTCACTGCCACAGCATGAAGATGAAGACTTCCTGAAATCTGCCCTAGAGCTGGGATGTTGTTTGTGGACAGTACTTTTTATTATCTCCTGTTTAAAAAGTGAACAGCGCCTAGTGAAGTTAGGTGACTTACATCTTTTATGATGACTATTTTTGTTGGAGTTGAAATGCTGTTTTCATTCTGCATTTGTGTAGTTCAGTGCTTTGTTCAAGGTTAAGTGTTTTCAGAAAAGTATGTTTTGCATGTATTATTTTACAGTCTAAAATTTTGACTGCTGAGAAGTTTCTATTGTATAGAACTTCATGTAAATGGTTTTCTTCCTGAATCTAGGGTATTCTGAAGATCAAAGCCTGTGTGAAAAATGCTACCAGTGGCAAAAAGCAACAGTACAGTTTGATTTTTACATTTCTTTCTAACATATCAATGCTTAGCAAAACTGTTCAGATTAGATTGTCAGTAGTAAATTCAAGACAGAAAGGCCCATTTTCTTTTAGCCCATGAAACATACCATACTTTTAATGCCTGCAATTAAGTGATTAAAAATTAGGCTTTATAACTCTATATGGCTAGTATTAAAGCTAAAGATCTTTCAATACATCAAATGCTTAATACTTATATAAATGTGAATTTGTCAGCCTTTGTGTAATCTGTATTATATACAGCAGGGAATGAGTTACACAATGTATGCTTTCAAAAAGTTATTTCTTAAAGCTGTTACAAGGGGATAATGGTCTTTCAACTAGTTATCAGCAAATGATGAATACATTCCACCACAAATGTGCTCTTGATCTTCTAGCTTTAAGACTATATGGAAGAACTGGGTGCTTCAGAGTTTGACAAAAAAGAAGGGAGCACTATACCTGTGTTGTGGATGATCTGAAGACTTTGTTCATTTTTTAAATATTATATTCAGGTCCCCTTTGCTTACCTAAGGAGGCCCAGTTTCACGCAAATGTTTTGTGAACTGTATTTAAATAAACACAAATGAAAAGAGTAAATAAATAAATAAAGGAAGGAAATGCTTGGATTTCTAAGCACCAGGCATAGAGAAAGGAAAAAACCAATAGCTGAGAAGGCCAGTAAGCCGGCTTAAAGGCCTCACCTAAAACTCTAAGCTATCATTATAGCATAGCTTTGTGACTTGCTATAATAGTCTCTTATATCCTCTCCAATCTGTTGCCTAGTTTTCTTATCACTGCTTTGAGGCAGCTTTACACATTAGCCTGTTGTGTGATAACTGAAATGGAATAAAAGAATGGAACTGGTTGAGTGGCAAGTGAGCATCTTCAATCAGAAGGCAGTAGGAGTCAACTTTGAACCTGTTGTCTCTTACTCAATAGGAATGATGTTCCCAACGTTCAGCAACATCCATCTGACCCCCTTTTCTGATGAGCAGCTGTAGATGAACACCGCTCCAGAGCCAACTTTTGGTAATGTTCTTTTCTTTC